GCTCTTGCCTTTTGTTTCACTCTCTGTTTTGTTTTCCCTTATTTTCTGTTTGTTTATATATATAAATATGTATATTTTTTGTGCAGTGCAAAAGGACAACTGCAAAAGTGCACCTAAGTTGCCAAATATAAAAAACTCTGCTGCCGCTTAGAGTTTTGTATGAAAATTTTCTGGGGCTTATTACGAGGGATATTCTCCAGCCCGGCCCGGGACCTTAACGTCTTTGGTCCCGTCCCCCAAATCGCAATTCACCTTCCACCTTTTTATGCTCTTTTAATAGCACTTGTTTAGCAAGCAAACAACGCTGGCAACTTAAAAAACTCCATCTCTCCGCCATGCTAAAAATTTTTATAGCAAAACTTTGAGTGTTTGTCTGTTTTATTAACCGTACCTGGCTGCCTCATTCGACTCCGTGGCGTTGCCAAAGTCAAAACTCTCAAGTTTTCGTCCTGTCTTATTCATAACACACACACACACACACACCCATATATGTGGAGACTGCACTCGTACTGCTGCAACACCACCACGACAGGCCAGGACTCTCAGCCAACATTTTATGTGTGTGAGCCATCTTGGCGAGGGCTGCTGCATTAATTGATGGCATTCTGTACTCCTTCAGATGTGGGATAAAAGCTACCAGTCATGATTGTTTTTGATGAGATACATAAATAAAATTGTAAGCAAATTCTGGTATATCTTTAGTTTTAAACTATAAGTAAGTCTTAACCAGAAACAGAATTATTTCATCATCTTTAAGGAAGTATAACTAAATTAAAAAGCAACACTTTTTTTTGATCCGTGTGATTTTCATCCGCCATTAAGCTGCAATATCTCGGCACCACCATCAACCCAGCATCGCCGGCACCGCAACGACAAACAACAATCTCGTTTTCAGAAAGCAAACGCTAATGACAAAATGCTAAAATTTGCCCAGCACTTGCCGGCGGTAAAGTGTAAGGGGATGGGGTTTGCTAGCGCTAGAAGGGGGGCTGCCGTTGTCTGGGAGTGCGTCCAAAAACCGCACAAGAGCGAGGCATCCATTAATTTTCGCACAACCGCAAAATTCAAAATTGTTTATAAAGCTACGCAGGATGCGGCAATGGCGGCGGCGGCGGCGGTGGCAATGGCGGCTACGGTGACACGTGCAGAGATAGAGAGCAGTCCTGCTGTCTCACCACCTTAACCCGTTCGTGGCCAAGGACGAAAAAAAAAAACAAAGTGAAACGCAACGGACCCAAATTGAAATGAATTTTAACGAGTCAAAGCGAAAAGTGTCAGCAAGTAAGGAGCGTTAGCAGTGACAACATCTATCTGAAGCTTCTTATTCCAGAAGCACAGAAAGAAATTTTGATAATCTGTATGTAATACTGTCAGGTCACCAAGGATATTAAGATCCTTTAGAAAGTCATATTACTATTATTTCTTTTACAACTATTAACCACTTCTCTAAATTGACTTTAATCATATTTCCCAGCTACCTTTGTTCCCAGTGCACTTTCTATTTATCTTTGCAATCTCCACTCTCTGTCGGTTCGCTGCGGGGCCACTAAATTATACGCAGCATGGAGAAGAGGATGCTTCAACTCACACTCTCTCACTGCTCTCCACTTTATTCGAAATCCTGTACCCATAGTCCTGGCCCTCGGTACCCGGGTCCAATGCGTGGGCCAAGTTTTTAGCGCGATATCCGACGGTGCTTCCTCTAAAATTGCGAACAAATTACGCAGAAAACTATTATCGTTAGGAGCATATGTGACGCCGTTAGACAGAAAGCCAAAAGGCCCGAACCGGAGCAGGGCTAACACACCTAACACACCCATGATCCCTGCGCTTCCATCCCGTCCCCCGCTGCTGGCGGCCATGGCAAATGACTATGACAACGGCGCTTGAGTACCTAAATGCAGCTTCAGGACTCCGCTTCCCCATTCTCCGCGCTCTTTTTGGCACACTCTTCATGCTGGGGGTCCGCCTATTTAGCTCTGTGCGGTGTGAGTGTGTGTGTGTGTGTGTGTGTGTGTGAGTGTGTGTGTGTGTATGTGTGTGTGCATATGCAATAACCGCCAGTGCCACCACCGGCTTATCCCGCCTCCTCTTCCGAGTTCAAAATCAACGGCACCATCAGCATCACCAAAGCTGGAGCGCCGTTGGAGCCCATCACAAATGGACGAGCTCGCTTATTGTCTGCTTTTGTGTGTGCGGCCAGCAAAACCTCCTGGATGCTGCTCCTCCTTCTCCTCCTCCCATCCATGCTCCTCGATCGCTGGCTGCGTGGAAATTGCTTTGCCATGTTAATGTTGTTAGTTGATTTCAGTTTTGGCTTTCAAAGCCGCCCTTAACCCGGGGAGTGGACAATAGGGTCACAGCTTCGGGGATAGGGGGGGATCGGAAGCAAGGAGCCAGGAGCCAGGAGCGGGAAGCGAGAATGAGTACGAGTGCTGTAGGGCTGAATTTCAGGTGATTCCCGCAAAGAGCATTGCCAAAATTGTTAAATACATGCTCGCCAAAAACACCCAGCATGAGGTCATACGTGACAACACTGAGAAAATAGATCTCAAAGTCAAAAGAGCTTTCTTTTTAATTAAGAAATTGATTATATATAATAAAAATAACCAAATTTATAATTTCCCTTCCATTAATTCTTTTAACATGACCAATAAACCCACTAATATTTTCCCTCTGTGTGAGTTTATGCCTTTGAGTTATGATCTGCCATCTACTTTTTTTTTGGGTGGTGTGGGTGGCATCATAGCTATATGCCCACTTTTAATGGTAATAAAATCTAAAGCTGCTTTTGAGCGCTCATGAATTCGTTGAACCGCTGCAGCTGCTGGCTCTAACGGAAGGCGGAAAGGCGGCTGATGTCCATCCGGCGGTGCGACAAAATGGCCGCTGTGCGCAAACGGAAGTGCACTAAACTAAACTAAGCCAAATTAATTGCCAGCTGTGGTTTAATGTGCCAAACAAAACTTTGATTGCGCCCCCAGATACGACGAGATGCTAGCCATCCGAGCTGCATCATTTGCATATTGAACGCAGCAGTCCTCAGGGAAAAGGCTTGCTCTCACCCCATCCCAAAAAAACATGAAGTATTCGACATGAAAAGCTATTAATTCCTACCGGAGACTTTATTAAAGACAAACACACACACACAGACCGAGAGCCTGTTTGAAACTGCAATAAAACCGGCCAAAACTTAACCCAGCCCGCAAAACATCTAAGCCCCCCCAAAAAAAAGAGGTAAGAAAAACCGAAAAAACCTGGTAGCATAAAAACAGGAAGAGAGAGAGCACAGTGCACAGTGCGGGAAAATTAATGGTTCTGACATGGAATTTTAATAAAAATGCTTGCGTCTAGATAGCGAGAGGTGAAAAACTGGCCAGATGCAGACTGCTAATGCTCCTCCAGCCACCGAACCGAACTGAGCCGAGCTGCACTGCAATGCACTGCCACGGAAGCTGGTGCTAGTGCTGCTGGTGCTGTCATAATGCTGCAATTGTTCATTATCCACTAATGAACAAAAAGTGTGTGAAAATCGCACAGACAAAAACCTAAATGAAGAAAATGCCGCACAGCTCGCTGAGAGAGATGAAAAAGGAACAGCGGCAAGTGACACACGTGGGGCAAGTTGGGGGGTTTTAGAGAAAAGGAAGGCCTGGAAACACGTTGCTCTGTCAGCAAGCAAAGAGTCAGAGTGCACTAAGGGAAAACTACATGTATTTATTAAAACGTTAATTATTAAGTTCTTAGTTGAAAAAATACATGGCTCATTAAATGAGTTTTGAGCAGAGCTGTTTACACTGTGCATCCTAGCTCTCCGCCTTTTTAGAGACTCAGTAAACTCTTCTACAATGCATAATCTTAAATTTTAACCCAGATTTTAATGTTACCTTTAAGTAATGTAATGAAATATGTTTGTATTTTAATAACTAATTCAAATAAATCCCATTTTCGAGAAGTGCAGGTGCCTTCCAAGCAGCATTGGCTTTAATTTGCGCTGCTTCTCGCACGTTTTCTTATTTGCCATCTGTATTGAGGCCAGGAGGCAGGAGACCAAGGAGACCAAGGAGACTGGGACTAGGACTGAGATGTGGTAGTGAGACGGCTGGGGGCCGGACTCTCTGAGGGTCGGCAGACGTTGCTTTGAGTGCATTACGTGGAATTTTTGAAGCACTTAAGCTGCTCCATAAAATGCTGCCGTTGCTCCTGCTGCCGTTTGCTTTGCAGCTACCAGCTTTCACATGTGACAGTTGCAGTTGCCGCCGCCGCCCAAGTTCTGGGCCTTTGGTCCTCGGCATTGGGTCCTCTGTACTCTGCTTGGTCCTTGCTTCACAGCGGATCCATCCTTGGTGGGTCGCTGGTGCTTTTGTCTGCAGCGTTTTTGTTCGTGCGGCATTTTCTAATGACAATTGTTTTGCAATATAAATTGCACAAGTGCGCAATATTTGCCTTTGTTTATGCGAAAACTTCAGCATTGCCTAGACTCATGCGCCTGACACCTGCCACCTGCCCACCGAAACAAACAAAACAACAAAAAAAAAGAAATGGCACACACACACACACACACATAAACACAGAGATATAGAAGAAAGCCAACCATTTGTCTCGCTCTGCACGTCTACCTCCCCCTTGCCAACCCTAATCTCTGCTCACAATTTCCCATTTTCCCGGCTCGGAGAGAGAGAGAGGCTGCTGTTTCTTGTTTCATTACGCCAACAGAAATTCCCGAAAGCAGCAAGGCAGGCAGCAGCGAAGCAGCAGTTGCATTCAATGGCTTTTGTTGGGGTCGTGATATTTGCTAAATTAAATGACGTGAGTTATGAGATACGATTGTTTGACCGGGTTCTCCGGCCTCAGTAGACAAGACATGTTGCAGGTTATGGCACACAAAAAAATATGAGAATTTCATTTGGTAATGGCTCAACTCAACTACAAAGTGAACTTAATATCTATATGTTACTGATTAAAGGCACAGGAGAGGTTGTGAAAATTACGTATACGTATATAGATTAGGAAATGGCTGGAATATAATTATTATACATTTTTGTATCTACTAAAAGCTTTGTGAATGTTTCTCAGAGTTATAGTGTAATAAAAAATGACACAAAATGCTTGATTATGCTGCTGCTATACCGTCAATAGCCTGAGCAGCAAAATACTTGACATCCGCATCCGTGTCCACCTTCAGTTTGTCAAGAGTGGGCTTCACTTGATCTTCAATGACACTGGCCTCCAGGAAGGGAGTCATCTTCTGCAGGGTTTTGGCCACATTAAAGCGAACATTGGCTATAGGATCAGTGGCAAGCTGAAGAACTGTAGGAAGCAGCAGTCTGACGGTTAAATCTGTACCACAAGCCTCGGCCAAAACACTTAGACAGAGCAAACAAGTCATTCTATACAAATAGTTGGTGTTGCGTGACATAACCAGGATCATGGGAATAATAGTCTGCTCAGCCCAAGGAGCCCCAAAATGCTTCACTAGCTTCTTCAAGTTAAGGGCAGCAGCCTCTCGAATGGCAAAAACATGATCATTGAGCCAGAACTGGCAAAGACCATGCAACTTTTTGTTGAAGAACTCCTGTCCCAGCTGACCGGCCAGAGAAGGCATATATTCAACGATGGCCAATCGCACCCTCCACTTGGAATCCTCAGCCAGCTCAAATACGGCGGGTAGGATTGACTCTGAAACCTGCTGTATGTTCATGATGTCATTGATACAATCCATTTTGGAGATAATATTCAGACGGACTTCCGGGCACTCGTCCCTGAGTTGTATATAGAACAGGGGCAGCAAGTCCTCCACAGTTTTATAGGCGCCCAATATGGGACTTAGACCCATAATGACAGAGGCCACAGCCGATCTGACATGTGAATTCGAATCTGAGATCAGATCTTGAACACTGGGCAAAATGCAGTTGAGTATAATCTGCGCCTGGTTGGCCTTGGCTAGATTGGCACAAAAATCTGTTACTTTGCTAGCCACCGCAGCGCGAACCTCAGCCTCAGTGTCCTTGAGCAAACTCTGGAAGTCTGGCAACAGTCCGATTAGGGTAATATCAGGACCCACAGCCATTTGCAAGTCCACAAACTTCTCGGCAACCTTACAGCGCACGCGCCACGACGGATCCTTGGCACACTGACGCAGTGAGGGTAAAATCAACTACAAAAACGAATTTGATACAATTAAATGAATTTTATACAATTAAAATATATATAACCTGCTCAATGTCCTCTTGGGGCAACAACTGGGCAATGGTGGGGCAAGCCTCAACGACCAGCAGACGAACAGAGTCCTAATCAGAGAAAGGTATCAAATATTCCCCCTATAGAGTAAAAGTTAGAGGCTCACCTGCTCATCTTTAGCCAGTTGCACAAAGCTGGGGATCAAGTCCGACTTGAGGTGCTCGATTTCCATAACTTTACTAAACTCACTCAGCTTACTAGTTGCTGCACGTCGCACCATGGCCGTCTCGTCCTGACACAGCTTACAGAAACTGGCGCGCAGGCTTTCCTTCACAGGTTGAGGGAGACGAGGATAACAGACCGAAAAAAGGCTGCAAGCCGAGAGACGGCCGGGAAACCAGTCATCTGAGGCAAGGCGTTGCAGCGTTGGCACCACATGGATCTCTAGGTCCAGAGGACTGTGCTCATTGGCCACATTGCGCAGGGATTCAACGGCCATGTCCCGGACCACACTCTCCTCAATGGTGGCCAAACTCTCGAGTGGTGGTATCAAGTACATGGCGAATTCGGGTCCTCCAACGAAACTTGTAAACTTTCCCAGCTGATCAGCCAGAACCAGCAACACCTCAACATCGTATATGGCCTCGATGAGAAAGGGTATCAACTCGGATCTAGTGCGCTCCTCGCCTAAAGCCAGAGCAATGGTGGATAGCTTTCTGATGGAGTTTAGACGCACCTGAACATCCTCGTTTTTCAACTCTTCGATAAGCACGGCAATGGGATATAAAGGGTCACCCAGAGATGCCATCTTCTCAGCTACTTTTAATACAATTACAATCACAATTATCGTAAAATCAGATCAGTTTGAGAGGTTTTCCCTTTTCGACTGTAATAAGTACCTATTTTGATTAGTTTCCCAATAAAAACTAGATGATTTTGATAATGTAATAAGTAATCATTTATAGAGGAAAGGACTGAAACAAATAACAATATTTTGCCATAACAAGGACACTTTTAAAAGGGTCATAAAATAAAAAGCAGACACATTACTTGCAATGCTTGGTTGACGAAATTATCCCTATTTGCATATCATTTCCCCAAGTGAACTTACAGCAAACACATACATTCATAAAAAGGACTCAATTCCTTTAACGGTGCGTGCATGTTTCTGCGGTCCTGGCAGTTGCAAGTTGTAAGTTGGCAGGCTGTCCGAGGCTGGTTTTAAGAACCCGCTTCCTGCACTGCAAATATGTAACGTTCCGCTAATGTAAATTTATTGTTAAGCAAAAAGTAGGTGGTTAAATGGAGGCAGGGAAGGCCGTGAACCACGTACTCCGCGCAGGTCAACGAGGCAACCACAGTGGGCCCACGGTACCACCACCAGCGCCACCCCTAGGAGCAACAATCACCCACAATTACACTGCCAAAATATATAGATTTTTTTATGAAAGATAATGTTTTAGACATTATTTCAAATATTCTTCAATCTTTATTTCTTTTTTTAAGGATATAAAGTTGAATATTTTTTATGAAGTAAATTCACATAATAGACACCTGGTTTTCTGTGTAAACATTTTTATTAAAATTTTCAAATCTTTAAATATTTTAAAACCATTTCTTGTAAATTTTATATGCATTTTTTCCAGGTGCACCTCGACAGTCACCTGGCAAATGCAACGGCGTACAATAAATCTAATTTGCGTCGCATTTAATGACTTTGTCCAGGCCCCTGCTTCGGCCTTCGTTGCCAACATCAGCGTGAAAATAGTGGGGGGTTCCCCTAACGAGGCACTAGGTGGGGAAACCTGAGCTCCTCCTGGCCAGGTGGACATGAGATGGAGATGGACACTGAGAGCTGGGGGCAGCAAAAGAGATGACATTTAAGCCGTTGTTGCCGGGACAATTTGAGCCAGCCATATTTTTAGGGAGCGTTGCAAAGTGCCTCCATAAAGTAATTAAAAGCGTTAATTAGAATTATGTGACAAAGGTAATGCGCAAATTGTAAATTAAACAATGCGCGAAAAAAGTTGTTGTGGCTTTTGAGGGTTGTGCCTTTTTAAGCATTAAGCCAATCCAACTATCTACTAACAAGAACGAATCTTAGGTCTGTCTCTCTTGCTTTCATAAAGGGAAATTCTACTGACTGGGCTAAAAATGAAAATATAAATATATTCTTTCAATAAATTGTTGCTCATCTGACAAATGAATGCTGAAATTGGGGGCCTGACAAGAGTGTCCCCAGAAAAAATATAACATACACACACATGACGGGTATTTATCAAGTTTTACAAACAGAAAAAGTAAAGTGAACATCAGACACCATGAGTCTGTGAAACATTTGTTGCGTCGTGATTTGGCTGATTTATACCCTTTGATAAGTACTCCTTGTGCTCCGGCAAAAGGCGCCCGATAATCGAGAGTGTAGCAGCTTCATTGGCCTAATAAAATGCATGAAACGGCCTTTTTATCTTCAAGTTAAATTTATGACTAACACAGGATACTGCGATTATGCAACGAATTTCAGGAATTGTATTTGAAAAAATAAAGCAGAAAAGTAAAAGATATTCAGCTTTACAAAAAATGGTTTTATAACTTGCTATGATTTATGCATTTAAATGAAATCTATAGAATAACATTTTGTAAAAAATTTAACATTTTATTTTTCAATTATTTCACAAACAGTACTTCTCCATAAACCCATAACAAAATATATTCCTGTTAGTCTAAACAGTAATTTGCATATTTGATGCCATCGAGCTGGCCGTGCTTTAATATTTTCCCAATGCCTTGGCATTTTTGATTTACAGCCCGCCGAGTAGATATGCCTGGGAAATTTTTAAATATTTCCACTGAAATAAATCCCCTCTTTCTCTCTCACTCTCTCCCTCTCTCTCTTTCTGGGGGGAGGCCCAACTAAGCGATCCTAATTTGCTTTGTATTCCGACTGAAGGCATCTCAACCCCGCCCGGTCCCGTGCAGACATTCTGTGAGGAGAGGCATTCATTCATTTCATTTGATTTTCGTTTCGTTCCGTTCCGTTTTTGGGTACGCATTTCACGAGAAATGATTTATTAAAATTCCACAACGCAGCAGATGAGATGAGATCCTTTTGGGGGAGAGCTTGAGCCTCAATGACATTAATAATGGAAATGCCTTTCAGCTGGCCCCCATCCTTCGGACTCCCCCAAAGTATGCAACAGTTTGGCAACTGGCTTTAAAATATTTACGTCTCCTCGCTTCGGCATGCATGCTAAACTTTGCCAGCAATTGACCTCGGTCAAACATAAACAAAAAGAGGCAAACCAAAAAACCAGAAAGGAAAATTCATTCGCTCTTGCCAAATTATTCAAGTCAAACAAGACCAACAACTCACCGGTTGTGTTGTATAAAATATGCAACAGCCTCTCTTGTGAAAGCTTCAAAGCTGGCCAAATTCTACAAGTTTGATTCTTCACTTACTCCCACCGCTCTTCTCTACTTGAGCATTTAAGTTCCAATAAAATTATGTTGTTGCGGTCGAAAGGAGGGGCGTTGCCTTGATTTACGTCTCCCCAGAAACCAGGCTGAATCTTTAATGAGAAGCCAACTAAACTGGTCAATACTCAGTGGTCACATCCTTGAATCACTAAGAGATATGAAAGCAGCTTAAAATTGAGGAAAAAGGATGTTAAGACTGCAAGTCTTAAATCACATATTCCTGGACTTTTCCTATGGCTTGATTTTAGTATAGTTAAAGTATCCTTAATCTCAATTTATAACATGAAATTAAGAGTCAATTCCAAGTATATATTTTTCTCTGTGTAAGATGTTGTCATTTTTGTGGCTTAATCGTTGTTGTTTTCTGCTTAGAAGATGGCCCATGAACCCAAAAAGTACTCAGACTTTCTGCTCAGGTGGAAAGGGATCTCCGGCAAAGACACTTTATTTGGTTTTGCGGGAATTGCCTTTAATTTTCTTGGTAAAAGTTTCGTTTGATTGTATTAATTGTTTTGTTATTCTTGGCAGCCAGTTAACCGAAAATTGTAAATTAATTGCTTGGAAACCAAAGCCACTCTTTGTCACTGCGTATGTGTGTGTGTATGTGTATGGGATGTATTGTAATTATTATCTTTTCATTTGCATAAAACTGATTACGAGTTTGGGAATATTTAAATTTCACTTCCAATGGTCTCTGTGAAGGAAACAACTAACTGCCAGATGGATAATTGCCATTATCTGATTACGCTTTATGCCGAATCGAATTTATTGCTGCAATTTACATACTTTTTTGTATTTAATTTTCAATTTTCTATATGCAAACAAACGAAGTTTAACTTTGGTTACATACCCAGCCCATTTCATGGCACACAAATAACAAGAAAATATAAGTATATCACAAAGAGTGCGCCGGGCAACAAATTGCTCTGGTAATTATATCAATAAATTTGATCAAATATAATGCAAGGCAAGTAAGGGCAGATCCTTTGTACATTTTCAATTCACATTTGGCATTTACAAATTTTTGCATTTGCATAAACTAAATGCACTTAAATAAAGAGTAATGTAGTTTATTTAATTTTCGTTATTTGCTTTTAAAATGACTGAAAATGAATATTTAAATTTGATTTCTCTAGTTCTAAGTAAATTGGCCTTTAGACAAAGGAGAAATTGGTTACTTTATAATTTTATTAAGAGGTAATTATTCCACTTGATTTTTCGATTATTAAATTACTATTTAAGAACAACACTAATCTCATTTTCCGAAATATAAAGTCTTACGAAATGGAAACTGGTTACAACAATCAAAAATTGAATCGCATTTTTGGCTTTGCACTCGCGCTCGTAAAATATAGAAATATAATGCTGAATGATGCCAGCTGACGCTTCAGTTTTTAGCGAGCCCGAGAGTGTGAGTCCCTGTACTTTATTACACAACCAGGTGCAGGAGGGGCAGGGGCAGGGACAACTGGTGGCAACAACAAATGCCACTAATAACACCAATGCAGCAGCACAGACAAAAACAATAAATAAATAAAAAGATGGCATGGCTTTGTCATTGCCTTTCCCCCTTTCTATTTCAACATATTTCTGATGCTGATGCTCGCAAAACCGCAACGGTTGTTGCCTCGCACAAATACTCACAAAAGCCCACCACCACTACAGACACACCACACCCATTGAAGTTATAAAACACATACATACACAGACACAAAGGAGTACATTTTTCGCTTTTATTTGTTTTCACAATATTTGTACGTGTTGGTTTCACCGAGTGTGTGTTCCTGTGTATGTGTCTATGTGTGTGAGGAAGGACGAGTGTTATATTTTCATTTTTCGTTGCTTTGAATTCGTCGCCCCAGCGAAAATTCCCAGAAATTTGTCTTCACACGCCTGTCAAACCGTTGCACCGCTGTCATCTATTTGCTAGGCTTAACCGTGGTCCGAAATCCAAACACAGCGAGAAAAATCCTTTTAGTATCAGTTGCAGAAATTTATTTAAAAAAAATATATAAAATTATCTATTAGCATTAGGTAAATTTGGGTAATGATTAAATACAAATAAGCTTGTAACCCATCGATTTTTATGTTGACATTGAAATTAATTAGAGACTTCAATGAAATCATATAAAGTACTATTTACTTTTTATAGCCTAGCAGGGTATTAAAAATTTAGTCAAAAGCCGTCAATTCAGTGAAGGAGTCATTTCCGACCCTATAAATCATATATATTCTTGATCAGCATCAAAAGGCGAATCATTCTAGACATCAAGGAAAGAAATTTAATTTTTGGAAATTTTTTTCATAATTTTACAACAGGATTTTACATTGTTGACATGTTGGAAAATTGACAAAATTTTTAATATCTTAAAAATTAAGTACAGGAATACAGATTTATTAACCGATAAAAAGCTAGCACAGAACAGCTTTCCGAATCAAAATTAATGCAT